TGCCTATTTCTCGTTGTTCGCTTTGTGTTGCCGCAGTATTCGCCACAATATGTTTAAAATATTTGAAATTTACTATTGAATAAGGTTTTTGTTGAAAACTAAGTAGTTTATATTTAGCTAAAATCTATTATAGCACGAACAATTGTAGCTGAAAGGGTAAGTTTATGAAAAGGCATTGATGAGTGGCAACAGTGTAGTAAGCAACACTGAGGGCTCCAGTAATCGACAAAATTCTGCGTATACAGACTGCGTTTAATGCAGCGTTTTTGCTGCATTAAAAATGCAACATTTAGCACTTTCGAACATATGTTTTCGAAGAGCGTTCATGCTATAGCATTTAGCAAATGTACATTTACGCGAGTTCGAAATCGTATGCTTTTGACAAACAGCCGTGTTCCAGTCTCTTATTTAGATGCGTATATATTACGATCAATTCTCACGCAGGAGATAATGTGCAAAAACCCTACTGAAAAGGAAAAAATAAATTTTAAACCAAAAATTCAATACAAAAACTTGTATTGTTTTAACCATAACCGAAAATTTGTTTGTGTATATATTCATTTGTCGGTGCTGTCAATTAAAATTTTCTCACTTAATTAGGAAACAAAACGAACTGAGTTGATCACAAATTGATTCAGATTTCTATCAGCATCAAATCGATGTTGAATTTGCTTAACTTTTCTTTATCCAAATATGTAATGCAAAATAAAAGAAATCTCGATCGGCGATCACTGAAACGTAGCTAGCAACTGTATACTCGAAAAAGCAATGTTGCCACTTTTTCTCTTTAAACCATGTTCGAATCGTGGAAATTTTGGAGGATCACAGGGTTGCTTTTAGCATTTAGATTCTTAATGCAAAAATGGAGTTGCATTTAGTTGCATTTAGGTGACGAATTTTGTATGGATAAATGTACATTTAGAGCTAAATGCGCTAAATGTGCTTTTACGCGTAAGCAAAAACAGCCTATAAGTATACGTTCTGCGTTCTCGACTAATTTCAGCTTTCTGCATCAAAATTGCCGAAACAATAACTGTTTGCGATTTGATTCAGTCGATAAATCGATTAACTTTGCCAAATAATCGGCAAACACAAAGCGAACATCGAGAAATAAGCAGAACGTGCATTCACTATTCCTTAAAACCACCAAGTTAATGCAGACAACATGTAAACACAAACAGTAGCTCGTTTCTGTAACAATTCTCTACCAAGGCGAATTGAGATATGAATTCGCCGCCCTATTCTCTACTGCTAATTCATGATTCAATAATACAAGGTTCGATAAACTGACAGTTGTCTCTCTCGCACCGCTCCCTTAGCAGTGGCACCGTGTTGCTTCTTTGCAAATTTACATGGAAACAGTGTAGCTTTGGTGTTAAATAAAGGTATAAGCTTTTGTGCAATATGTTTATTTGTATATGCATATGAAGCATATTTAACTGATGACAACATAAGCATTGGATATTTACATCAGTCTAATAGTAGTCTTATTTTAATTTTGAGTCATTTTGCAGTTTTTATACGGCTAAACAGCATATAAATTACGTAATTCACGTAGATATATCAATATTACGTTCAACATTTCGTTTAAAATGCTAGATTTCCTGCAAATACATTAGAATTTACGAAAGGAATTTCACTTCTAATTGACTACTTTGCGTACTTTTCTACTACCATTTTCGAAACAAGGGATTGCATTCTTGCCCTTTCTCTGTCCTTCGTAAATGCAACCTTTTGTAAGGGAGTGTCAAACCGCAGCTGTCAATAATTATCTAACCTTGTATTATTGAATCATGCTGCTAATTAGTTGTTGTTGTTGTTGTAGCGGCAGAGCATTATATTATGCTCCTTTACAGGGAGCATTTGCGCCTCGCCGTGCAGGTGGTGTTCAGGCGACATCAAGAGGCATCCTGTCGCTGTCCTGAGTGCGGTGTTCTGTACAGTCTGTAGCTTCGTCCACTGCGTCCTACTAGTCCCTGGCGACCACACTGGCGCTGCGTAGTTCAAAACCGGCCGGCCTATTGCCTTGTATGTTGCCAGCAACGTTTCTTTGTATTTGCCCCAAGTACTGCCGGCTAGCGACTTGAGGACTTTGTTGCGGCTCTGTACTTTATTGACAATAGCGGTTGAGTGCGCAGAGAAGGAGAGCAGGCTGTCGAATGTTACTCCGAGTATTTTGGGGTTATTCACCGTCGGAATTGGTGTGTCATCGACGTGAATCCCCAGCGGTAGCCTGACCTCCTTCGTCCAGGTTGTGAACAGGGTCGCGGAGGATTTCGTAGGGGAGAGGGCTAGACACTTTGCAGTGAAGAAGCGAGAAAGTTCGGAGAGATAGCCGTTTACTTTCGAACACAGGTCATCAATTCCATTCCCAGTCGCCATGATCGAGCAATCGTCGGCATAAGAGACAATCGAGACTCCCTCTGGTGGTTGAGGGAGCTTTGAAATGTAAAAGTTAAACAGTAGCTAATTAGTAGGTGAGAGTGACGTATTTTCTCTACCAGTAGAGAAATAATCGGTAGAGAAAAGTTACAGAAACGGGCTACAGCTGATATGCACTTTGACACTTTATCCATTTTTAGCCGAAGAAAAAGTTCGGGCTGTTTCGGGCAGGAAGAAGAAGACACTTACTATCCAATACGTTCAAATTTTTGTTCTCTATTGCCAATTTTGTTGAGTACGGGAATGATTTTTGGGCTATTTTGGGCACCCGCGGGATCCCGTGTTGCGTACGGGAAATAACCTAATAGGTTCTTTCCTTAACAATCCGGACCGGACCCGGTAATTAGAGAATAAGCGAAAAGTTTGCTTCCAAATCCAGAAGTATGGGAACGCAAAAAACCACATTTCGTGCCCAGAATTTGAGAAACATCTGATTCACGATGTTTTTGTTCTTAAATTATTAATTACTTGTTTTTTTAGAGGGTTTGGTATGTACATTGCCATTTTGCCACGCTTATTTATTTACATTTTACTCTTAATTTCCAACCTAATTAGACACAAGATAACGGAATAGTGACGATAATAGCTTAATTTCTTTAAATGCTCTTTATCGGCTGTCTATCAAAACGATTTAACTCTATGCGCCAAATTTTGGGCAACAAATAGTTCTTTTATTAATAATACCACTTTTTAAAGGTTCCACGGATTTTTATTAAGTAAAATAGTACAGGAATCTTAAACAGCTTGTAATTAGTTGTAATATTGTATTTGTGCTATAATCGTTATGTATTTGTCCATTTTCCTCATGATTCAATAATAATTATTATTATTGGATCATTCATTTTCCTCATATCTTTCAAGAGAAATTAATTCACAAACATTTCTTTATGTCAGTGCATACTAAAAAGGCAATTTGCTAAAGGAACGCTTAACATCATGAAATGTCGGATTTGAAACACGCAAATAGAATGGTCAAAATAGATCTTTCCCTAAGTATAATAAGCGATTTGGAACCTGTATCACCTTGTGAAATGTTTTATATTTATATGTAATAGGTATGTAACTTTGCGAACAGTTTCTTAGTAAATATCTAATCTAATTCTATTCGATTTTCCATAAATAAATTACCAGTGTGCAATTTAGACTCTTTCATTTTATCGTGTGATTTAAGTAGATCTTCCATCGATATCGCAATTTGCGGATTTCTTAACTCGATGGCCGCGGGAGCCGATGTTGAAGGTTGTGCCGCTTGTTCGGTTAATTGGTTTTCATTGGTACGCATAAACTGACGCATACGGTAAACGGAAGCATTTCGACACATTTCCCTCAAATCCGAACCAGAGAATCCATTAGTAAGTTTCGCCAATCGATTAAAATCAACATCGTCATGTACGCATTCGGTTTCTAAAATAAGTTTTAATATTTGTAATCGCTGAACTTCGGTCGGAAGTCCAATGTGAAACTGTGCGGGCATACGGCGAAGGATGGCCTTATCCAAATCTTGAGGGCGATTTGTAGCGCCCATTACAATAACTGTGGAGTTTGAATTAGTGCTAAGCCCGTCCCAAAGCATCATAAATTGGGTTTTCATCATAGCAGTGGCTTCATGGTCGTTCGAGTTGCGACTGCGCAAAAATGAATCGATTTCATCTATGAATATTATGCAAGGCTGAATCTTTAAAGCCAAGGAGAAAACTGCAGAGGCCAATTTTTGAGATTCTCCATACCATTTGTCGGTCAAAATTGCAACGTCAAGATTTATGAAACGCATTCCAGCTTCTTTAGCTGTGGCTTTTGCTATTAATGTTTTACCACAACCGGGTGGACCGTGCAGTAAGACGCCTTTTGGTGCTTGCCAGAGTTTAGACTGATTAAATAGATCTCGATGCCTTACAGGTAAGACCACTGACTCGCGCAATTCTTGTATAACATTGTCCAGGCCAGCAATGTCATTCCAGCTTACTGTTATATCAGTAGGCACCACCAAATGCGTGGCAATCATGAGCTCGTAGTCATTGAATTGTTGGGGATTTACTTTGAAGCCACTTTGATCGCCTAGCCTGGGAAGTAGACATTTTATATTTCTAAATAGCCAAAACCACAAATATTGAAACGTAATTACCGCTTCAACTGCTCTTCAGCTCGCAATTTTGCCTTCTTTTTGTTCTTGCTGGTCGGATCAAGTTGATTCATCATCCATTTTACTGAATAAAATGTGATGACTGATGCAACGGAGACACGTAAAAATAACTGAATGATTTCATTGCGAGACAGCTGGGAGCCGCCCAAATTAAAGTTATCCATTTTGTTTAATTACTATTGTGTAATTGACTATAAGCACATAGCCTTTTTCACGCTGGCACGAGTGATATTAGGATACTTTAATTTAGTGATGTATCAAAATGGCGACCTATCGATTAAAAAAAAATCGATTCACTACATCTTTATTAGGTATAAAGCTTTGACGACCTATAATTATAAACAACGTTTTTACAAATTTATTATAAACAAGACTAAGGCTGTCATTAATACAAAATTTATAGAAGAATTGCAGGTTTTATTTCAAACTTATTGTAAATATTCAATAAATACACGTTGAAGTAGAAATGCTTCGATTGTTGAGGTTATGCACCATCGATCGTATCGTTTCGTTTTTAATTGTGATACTAGGTGTGTTCGTCGAGCAAAAAAATTTGCACGAATTTGTACGAATTATCATGATTTTTGCCCAAATCGAGTTCGTGCGGACCAAAAAATTATCCAACACTCAAAAATTGTGAGAGCAAAGTGACAGTTCTCTTGAAGAGAAGTTGCAAATTCTTGCTGGAAAAAATTTTGCCAGCAAGGATTTGCAAACACCAAAAACATGTGATTGTGGCGCATGATTGCATTTTTGTCTACGATAATTTGAATAAATAAGTTTGTTAAATTTAAAAATTTATAAACACGAGTGATTTTTTTTATGAAAAAAGGAAGTAAATGCTTGTTGATATAATTAATTTAGTTAATTCCAATGATTTGAACTTAACTCGGCGGAAAAAAATGTATTCGCAATCGGAATGCAATTGCAACCAGAGTCGATTTAAGCAACACGACAGCTAGTACGATAAAGAAATTGAAACGTGTGTTAAAGAAAGTCAGAACAACAAGAAATATACATGTATATCCTGTTTTTGTCCATCTGAAAGAATTTAAAAAATTCTATAAAAATTTAATATATTCGAAATGCAACCATGGACACCAGCTGGCAGGGAAACTTGCAATTTCCTGCAAACATGCGTTCGTGCAGAAATTTGGAAGTTTCTCAACATGATATATAGTTTGAGAGAATTTTTTCTTACTCGCTGATATTTTGAGTGTTGGATAATTCTTGCTGGATTTTGGACGAACCAACCTACTGTTACGATTATCCTCGAAACCTTCCCAAATATCGTTCGGTTCGTATCGTTGGATTGTTAAATAAATGCTCACGATGGCCAAATTGTAGTACAATTAATTTTATTGTTCAACAAACAATTTACAATATTCGTTAATACCGTAAAAACACTTCACAATACTCGTTAAAGCAATTACAACGCTTTACAAAACCTGTTAACACAATTAAACTTGTAGCTTGCTTATTCGTAACTCACTTTACTTGTAGCTTGCTGACTTGTAACTGACTCACTCCGCTGTCTGGTGGCTCTTATATACCTGCGCTCGCACTCATGGCAGCTCTAGAATGTTCTGAAGTTCATCGCTCATTCTCTTTCTCTCGCTGTTTGCAGTGTTCATCCAACTTGACGTTTTCTCATTGTGGAACATTCTACGTCATTCCTCGAACATTCTGGTTATTTCTCGTTGTTCGCTTTGTGTTGCCGCAGTATTCGCCACACTACTATCACTCTTTTCAAGCGGTGCTGTTATCGGATCCGCTGAGTTCACGACGAATTTGTACTTTTTGTCAAAATTATGTGTTTGTTGTAATTTTGCTTTGTAGTGATTGTCAATGTGTATATAATTTGTTGTTGTAGTTTTTTGTTTTTGTTCCTTCAACACCACCTTGTATGTCAAGGCGAATTTATACAAGGTGGTGGTAATGGTGAATTTACCGGCGGATGTATTACGGACCCACGTCCAAATTTCCCTACTGAAGCGGCTGTTCTAGCCGATGAGCGTGATAGCTTTCGTCAGGCCGATCCCGGAGATCCCCGTATCAGGGATCTCAACGCGGAGATTCATACATAAGCGGAAGAAGTGGGAAGAGCATCTGAATACCTGTAACTTCACTTCTTGTGTGAGTAAGCTTTGGTCAACCGTGAGGTCACTGTCCAATCCGACGAAGCACGACGACAGAGTCGAAATTCCTTTCGGCGACCATGCTTCGTCGGACCCGGAGCGATGCGCGAGCTATTTTAGCCGGCAGTTCATACTGCATCCTCCGGTGGACAAAGCCAAGCGTCGAGTGACCAAACAGCCAACAACCTGTGCCTCCCTTGCTTTCACTTGCGGTGAAGTTCAGGTGGCCATCGGGAAGGCGAAAGCCTCCAAAGCCATTGGTCCCGACGGAATATGCATGCTGATGCTGAAAAATTTGGGTCCTGCGGGGGTAGCGTACCTAACGGAGGTCCTCAATTTGTCTATGGCTACTCTCATCATCCCAGACATCTGGAAGGTGGGGAGAGTGGTTCCACTGCTCAAACCGGGGAAACCTGCCAACACAGGAGATTCTTATCGGCCGATAACACTCCTTTCCCTGGTAGCGCAGACACTCGAGGCCTTGCTGCTCCCGTATTTCACAAACCACTTGACCCCAGTGAAGCATCAGCATGGTTTCCGTAAAGTGCACAGTACAACAACAGCACTTAGGGCCGGTTGTTCAATGTCTGATTAGCCCAAATCGGAGGTAGAAGCTCCGGTTAAGCACAACTACTGCTTTATCGATCACATGTTACATGCATGATGTCGAAATCGTCGATAGTGTAGTGGTAGTGATAACCAGACATTGAACAACCGGCCCTTAATGCCATAAACACTCAGATAACTCGTGGCCTTAACCGTAAACGTCCCTGTGAGAGAACGATTCTAGTAGCGTTGGTCCTATCAAAGGCTTTTGACACTGTCAGCCATTCCACGCTACTAGAAGATATAGAGGCTTCCTCTCTCCCACAGAGGCTCAAACGGTGGTCGGCAAATTACCTGAGTGGTCGACACTCGTCGGTAATGTTTAGAGACAAATCGAGCAAACTTAGAAAAATAAAACAGGGGGTTCCACAGGGTGGTGTCCTTTCCCCGCTACTGTTTAACTTTTACATTTCAAAGCTCCCTCAACCACCAGAGGGAGTCTCGATTGTCTCTTACGCCGACGATTGCTCGATCATGGCGACTGGGAATGGAATTGGTGACCTGTGTTCGAAAGTAAACGGGTATCTCTCCGAACTTTCTCGCTTCTTCACTGCAAAGTGTCTAGCCCTCTCCCCTACGAAATCCTCTGCGACCCAGTTCACAACCTGGACGAAGGGGATCAGGCTACCGCTGGGAACTCACGTCGATGACACACCAATTCCGACGATGAATAATCCCAAGATACTCGGAGTAACATTCGACAGCCTGCTCTCCTTTTCTGCGCACGCAACCGCTATTGTCAATAAAGTTCAGAGCCGCAACAAGGTTCTCAAGTCGCTAGCCGGCAGTGCTTGGGGCAAGGACAAAGAAACGTTGCTGGCAACTTACAAGACAATAGGCCGGCCGGTTTTAAACTACACAGCACCAGTGTGGTCGCCGGGGACTAGTAGGACGCAGTGGATGAAGCTACAGACAGTACAAAACACAGCACTTAGGACAGCGACCGGATGCCTCCTGATGTCACCAAAACACCACCTCCACGATGAGGCGAAAATGCTCCCAATTAGGGAGCACAACACGATGCTCTGTAAGCAGTTTATGGTTGGGAGCCACAGATGTGGCCACCCAAATAGACAGCTGCTTGCAGAGGAGCCTTCGCCAAGGCACGTCAGGAGGCATCTATATGAACTGACGGATGAAGTCCAGAGGTTCATTAAGCAGCCTCTGGAACCGTCAGCTCACAGACAGGCCCTGAACGGCATTCACAGGGACGCAGTCTCGAGTTATGTGGACTCCAGACGTGTGAGTGCCGTTCTAGGCACACAAACACCGGACATTGACGCGACGGAGCTCCATCTGCCTCGGGAGACCAGAACAACAATAGCCCAACTTCTACTGCAGCAGGCTAAACTCCTACCTGAGTAGGCTAAGTGCGGATGTGCCGAATGAATGTCCGGCATGCGGAGAGACCCCTCACGACTCGAAGCATCTCTTCGCATCCCGGAAAACCCCACAAACCCTAACGGTGTCGTCCCTGTGGACCGACCCCATAGAGGCTGCACGCTTCTTGAGGCTGCCGTTAGTGGAACTCGACGACAACGACTGAGATATCAACCGATCTGGGCGGGGTTGTTGTAGCCGCTACAACAACAACAACAACAAACAAAGTGCAAATATAAGGTTTGTTCCACACGCTTTCCGGGCTGTTTCGGTAATAAGAGCGTAAAAATAAGTTACTCTTTCACAAGTGTCAACCCGTGCCAAAAGTGCCCGGAGCGTGAGGAGCGCAAAAACCGCTTTTCGTGCCCGGGGTCGACCAATTAGTTATAAACAATGATTCTTTGTGCATTTAACTTATATAGCTAGTGAAATTAGCCAATACCTACATTTCTGAACCTTTAGTGCTGTTTTCCATTTTTGTATTTTACAAAATTTGCTATCGGATGTAATGAAACAACAGCTTTTATTTCAAATTGATTTCTTGTACATTTCTGCCCGGAAAACAAGTCCGGGCTGTTACGGTCACGAATAAGAAGGCATTTACGATCCAAAAGTGGAAGGTATTCGCCCTCTATTACCCATTTTTTTAGCGTGAGGAACGCTTTCTGGGCTGTTTTGGACACCCGCGGGCTCGTGTGCAACAAACCTATAGCAATGAGCGGATAAAATTTGAGGAAGGTAAACAATTTCTGTTAAAATTCTTTCAAATGTATTTTTTTAACGTCAGTATGGTGTATGACGAATTGTGTTGTATGCGCATCGCGATGAAAGTACTCGCGATATTGTTGTTGTTGTTGTAGCGGCTACTAACCATCAACGTTGTCGTCAATTTCAGCTAGGGGGAGGCCCAGGAAGTGTGCTACTTCCACAGGGGCTGTCCATAGGGACAGGGGCGTTAGCTGAGTGGGGTTCTCAGGGCATGTGAAGAGGTGCCGGGAGTCATGTGGCGACTCTCCACATGCCGGGCATTGGTTGGGCACATCCTCGTTGATTCTGCTCAGGTAGCTGTTGAGCCTGCTGCAATAGCCAGAGCGAAGTTGGGCTATTGTAGTGCGGGTCTCCCGAGGCAGACAAAGTTCTGTCCCGTCC